TATCAAGTGCCATGTCCTCAGTTATCTGAAGACTCGCCATATTCTGCTTGATCACCTCCCCAAATAATAACATAACCTTCATATAAATTGGGACGGAGGAAGAAACATATCCACATTCGGTCTCTCCTCTAAATGTTTCTGAATTATGATGCGAATTGATTGTGAAAATCCTAAATGTTATTTTAAAAAGATAAATTAGAAGAAATGCACTTCTTGTGTTTTGCATGCCTTTATCTATAAATTGATAATGACATGTTGGTGACATAACGTTGATATTAAGTAATTTGCAGCAACATAGGAGTTGACTATTAGTGAGAATTAACAATCTCAATCAACACCAACATATACAACGTCTATGTGATAAAGAAATAAAGATAGTTAGCTAATTTAGTTATGCCGTAATAATCAAATTAGGGGAATATTAGTTTTATAGAATAACTAACTCGTGATACTTGATTTATCCTTCCGCAACAACTTACAAATTTCGGATAGCATATACAACTAAATTTGTGGGGTAAAGTCGCAGGGGTAGGTCAAGCTGACCCTTGCATTTTCATTCTCCCATAACGGTATTGAAAACGATTTGATTTTTATCCACATATAGTGTAAAGTTTTTACAATAATAGTGTATTTAATTATAAATATTATATCGGCTTTATTTTCTAGAATTTTAGGTTTCTAATCTTGCTAATAATCGATGGATTTAAGTTACACTATAAAAAGGTTTACAATGAATTTTAAGTTGCAATAGTAGAGTTTTACTTGTAATTACCGAATAAAAAGCTTAATTATATATGTTTTTGTGTAGTCAGTGTTTAGAACTTAAAAACTCAATCATAAATTGTTACCTGTTAGAGGACTTGATGTGTAATTTTTACACTATCATTATATTTGAGCGTTTAAAATTTCCGCGCCTTGTGACCGAAGCAAGCAAAGTTCTTGCTACCGGAGCTACTATATAATATTGGTAATCCCAGGCACGAGTTGTGCTTTGTCTCAACCACTGGACGAAGACCTTAATTGCTCTCTCTGCTACTCTGTCACCTCTCCGAGCATTTCTTCCGTCTTTAGAAGTACGAATTACGCAGCTCCGTCTTATTACCACGACTGTCTTCAGGTAGATTCTGGTGCTTTTTGTCCTCTTCGTCATTTTCATTTGATATTTTCAATTGATGCGATTTGCCTATTTTGTTTTTGTGTCTGATTTTTTTTTATCTTGCTTCAATTAGTGTTATGTGCTTGCTAGTTTGAATATCTACTGCGAATTCTCGTTGTTTTGTAAGTATTTGATCTGTGCGATTTTTGCGAAATTCATTATGCTAGATTGCGGTGCCTTTTCTACACTTCGTGATTCCAATTTGCATTCCATCAGATGCCGTTTGCTTATCCTTGCGTTCCTAGTTTGATATGCATCGATTTCTGTTATGCGATTGCTACATTCTATATCTATGTGAATTTCCGTTGCTTTTACGTACTACTTATTCTGTTTAAGTCTGGAAAATTCAGTAAACGAGATGAACTGAAGGCCGGTATTGTTTAGTGTTTTGGAACGTTGATCTTAAATTACCGATCATATTCCACTTTAGCTCGCAGCAAAATGTTTTTTGTCCTCTTCGTGATATAATCTATTAGAATTTTCATCAGATGCGATTTGATTAGAATTTCTTACGTTTCTCTGTCTGTTTCGTTTTATTCATTTATGTAATCGCTAGGTTTCTATATCTGTTTGAACCTCAGTTGCTTTTGAGTTACTGTTCTGTGCAATTTTGGAAAAATTGAACTACAGAAGATCAAATGTACTTGAAATTTTCATTGTTGACTGTTTTAGAATGCTTTCTGAATTTACCGATCATTTTTTATTTCAAGTGAATAAGCTGTATGCTTACTTCTACGTCTGTGTCTGTTATGCTTCAATTAGCTTTTATGTGATTGTTGGTGAAAAGAAGGTTTTATGTGATTTTAAGGTGGAGTATCTCTGTGAATATCCGTTAGTTCGTTAGTTTTCAGTACTTGTTCTGCTCAATTTGGGTGAATTCGACATACTAGATCAAATGTATTTCAATTTTTCTGGTATAATTGATTGTTCGGAATGTTATTTGTAATCACTGATCATTTTCCACTTATACTCTGTTTTCAGCAAAATGCAAAACGAGAATCCTTCAAGTGATGGCCTCAACAGCAGCACCGCCGATGCAGCTACAGTCCCGTCCGGCAACAAAAATTATACCTGCTCTGATGCAACTTCACCGCATCTGGCTCACAATCCATTTCTCTCACCTACCTCAACTCACCAATTCGATTCCTCCGAATTCACCCCAAACTTCTACTCAACTTTCTCTCGCACCTCAAATTCCCCTTCCCAAACCTCCTTTGACGATATTGACGACATCGCCACTGATGGCCGCCTCCACCAAGCCAGCTACATTCTCGAGTACCAGCAGCTCTACAATCGCTACACTCTCTGCCTTGCACATCTCCAGGAATCTATCAAAGAAGTTGAAGCTCTTCACCAGGAGAATGAATCTCTCCGGCTAGTTAACTCCGATTTGGATCGACGCCTCAGCCTCCTCACGCAGGCCACTATCCAAAACTGCCTTCTTTCTGATTTCAATCGTTTTGGTCTGGGAGTCAACCGTGACAGTCAAATCTCTGATCCCAGACCTCCGAACATTAGGCCTGCAAACGTCACTGAACCAAACCGGCCTGAGCGAAGGAATGTCGAGCGAGTCTCGCTCCCGAAGAGTATTTCTGTCCGTTCAAGTGGTTATCTCAAGTTGAAAGCACAAGGTGGAAAGAATGAAGGTCCCAGCCAGGGAAAAACTCGCCAAAAAGCCACGAATCCTCCCCTATCCGAATCCGTGAGTTTAATGTTTCATATTCATTCCTCTGTTTCTTATTCATCTCTCAATATAATCGGTGAATTTCTGCGTGGTCTTGTGAAATGTGATATATTTGGTTTGTTTTCAGTTTCATCTAATGTGTCAATTGTTCAATACTCCTTATTTTTTGACTTAGAAATCAGTGCAATGCAAATTTGATTGATAGTCTGAGTTTTCTTTCTTTTCATTTTTGTGGGTGACGTGTGGTGTGGAGCAGCAAAGGGTGTATGTTCCAGGAAGTAAGAAGGAAGAGGAGGCAGTGGAGTTTGAAGTTTACAACCAAGGGATGCTCAAGACAGAGCTTTGCAACAAATGGCAGGAGACTGGGACGTGCCCTTATGGCGAAAACTGTCAGTTCGCTCATGGTATCACAGAGTTGCGCCCAGTTATCAGGCATCCACGCTACAAGACCGAGGTCTGCCGAATGGTCCTAGCAGGTGATATGTGTCCCTATGGTCACCGTTGCCACTTCCGTCACTCCCTCACTGAGGAAGAGCGACGCACAGGTCCCAGCCTGTTCTGATTCTCTGACTCGATTTCTTCAATTGTTCCGATCTATGAAGTCTTGGGCGCAAAACTTAAATCCTATGCCATGGTTCAATTTCGCATATCCGTAAACCCCCCAAAAGCAATAAGATGGAAATATTTTCGTGAATAAACCTATATGAGGAACTGGAGAGGACAGGATTATGTGATGACAATTCTATTTTGAATGGTACCCAACCCACCCACACTGCAATAGAAAAATTACTGACCAGATATTTGGAGTTGGTACTTGATATACAGCTAGGGAAATTCTAAAGCTTTTTTGGGTTGTTCAATTGTGCAAATTGCTTTTGTAGCTAATTTTTCAAGTATTCATGTTGAACATGTTATCAATTGTCTGAGAGCTGAAGCACAAAAGGGCAAGAGCATGGAACAGTGGGTGTTTAAAATCATTGTAATGATCATAAACTGTTTGATACAGCAGTCTGCCAATTGCTATGTGGTTTATGCAACATATTCACTTCTAAAACAAATTTAAAATAGTTCCATATTTTTTGTATTAGTTGTAATAAAAAAATTGTATTTAAAATGAAATAGTAGTTGCGTAAAGTATTTATATTGAATTTGAAAGTGTAATTTACTTTTCCGAAATCTATTTCTTGCATTTTCTATTACCAATATATTTACTTTTAACTTTTAAAGTATGCAGTGACTAATAGCATTAATGTGTATTAGCTATTAAGGAGTAACACTTTATCTAACTTAGCAAAAGGCAGGTGTAGAGAGTATCATTTTAAGGATATAAAACCAAAATGATCAGAGTATATTGTCAGACAAAAAAGTGAAAATAGAATCGAAACCATACGAGGAGTGCACATTACATATATAAACATACAGGGGTCCTTTGGTTGGGTTAGGTAAAATAAATTTTAGCATAAAAATAATATAGAAGTTGTTTGATTTACTTATCAGTTATGAGGGAATAGTAATATATGAATTGTTTATATGATAATTAATAATGAAGAGATTGTTATAAATAAATCACTTACTTTTAAAAATATATTATTGTCTCTAATAATAGTTTAATTCCTGCAATTTTATTTCATATACTATGCCACAAAAAAATAATGTTTAGGTTGCTGCATTAATATTTAACATCATCAACCCAACGCTGATTAGTTATGCAATAATCATTTTGTCTTATGCGATCAACGTCACCAAATACCAAATTATCTTATAAAGAATTTTTATGTTAGATTAATTGCTCCATACCACCAAACGATCCCATATTGTTTTGGTTTGAGGGATTTAGAAAATAATTTTCATATAACCAATATTACAATATTTGATTGGTGATCAAATAATAAGTTAAATTATACGAGAGCGTGTATATTATTTTATGCACAATAAAGAAATAAAAATATTTAACTACAAAGTTTCCTTAAAGTATGTAATACCTACATCTGTATTACCATTCACCGCAAAACAAATAATTTATTTTCACTGCATAAACAATCCACTTATTATGGTTTTAAAAAAAAAACACAAATCCACTTATTATAACTCGCCTACCAAATAACAATGCATTGACATAAAACATCGTCGGTTATTTCTTAATTAAATCGGTTATATAATAGAGCAGTCAATGTGGAAAAAGAGGGGAAAAAATAGTGTAGTGAATAGTAACTACAGAATCAATATACGAAAATCGAAATGGTAAAATAGCAATTGCAATTCCGATTTTAACTAAAAGATGTTTGACCCATATAAAGGAAAAGTTTGATTTTTGATGCTACAATGGTGCTTTCTTGAAATTTTATGTAATGGATTACTACTTACTAGGCGATTCTATGATTCTCTTGGAGAAAACCAAGTCAAATGGGTTGGCATTGAATCAAGGGAGGAGATGGCAGCTGACATTTTAGCGTCAGGCGGCGGCATGTGGAGAACTTCTTTCCCAATGTTCTCAGGTAGGTTTTGCTTCTTTTGTATTTCTTTTTCTTGTTAATAGGAAAAGTAGTAGACTAGTAGCACCAAATAAGAAAATAAGAATCAAAGTTGGGAATATCTCTGACCTTTGGTAAAGTTTTACTGTAAATTGTATATTTTGAACCTAAATACAATGTTCTGAAGAAGAAATATGAACGTGCATAAGTTTTTTTTGTATTTGTTTCTTTTAGATAGGAAAATAACAGTATTGAGATTTACTATCTTGAAAGCAGAAAGCTTGAAAGGTTTAATTAAGCCGAAAGTTTGAAATCTCTAATTCCATAACTTTTTGCCACTTATGGAGAAGGCTTTGCACACATTATAAAGTAGGCTTGTAAAATCACCAAAGGAGCAAATTCTTTCCTAGATAATCCCATATCCAATTGAGATATCTCATTTGTATGCTGATGTTTCTTTCCATAAGGAATTTCCTTCCTCAAGCTTTCTCTCAATTTTATAACCTGATTAATGTTAGTGCTGATTTTGCTGGTTAGGTCCGTAATGAAGTGCTATTAGCATGTATTTGGAGTGTATGCCATATATTTATTACAAGTTCTTGAAATTTTATGGGTTGAGGAAGAAAATCCCATTTTCCCATTTGCTGCATTTCAACTTTATGTTCAGCATCCAGGTCCCAATTGATAGATTTGACTTAGTAATTACCTTGTAGCATGACTATTAATCCTTTAAATCCTTAAAGAAAGGAACAGCCCATGACCCACCTGATAACCATTTTCTAGATATCTGAAAAATCGAACTACTTTAAACTCCAGTAAGGGTGGCTCTGTCTCAAATATTGCTATCAAGAGAGTTGGTGCTCTTTGATTAGTGTAACTTAGTTGCTTTTGTCATCTTAGTTTTGTTTATCTTGATATTTTTCTTATTAACATTATGTGTTACCAATTGATGCCTGAGACAAGTGCTTGCTAGTCTAACTAGCTACTCAATGAGGGAAAATGACGTTATCACATTAGGAAATTACACAATCCTTCCACACTTTTTGTTGAAGATGCTCAAGAATAACTTGGACAGGTACAAATTTGAGTTACCTATTTCATTTCTTTGCTAACATATTTTTAAAAGTTTGTTTGATTGTCATTTTGGTTTTGAAATAACATTATCACAGTAGAGAATTGCACAATCCTTCAATAACTCCTCATGAAGATGCTTAAGAACAACTTGGTATGCCCAAATCTATGTTTGATGTTCTATACTTTGCTATGCCTATCATTTTTTAAAAGTTCGTAGAATTGTCATTATGATTTTTGATGAACTTTCTTTAGATAAAAATAATTCAGTGTGTGAGTGAACATGTTTATCAAGCTTATTAAAGTAGATTAGTTAAGTGATTTATTCTTTGTTGTTTTAACCAACATCAGTTGGCAGTGATGTTGAGGCACAGCAGTGATATTACCATTTTCTTGTACTTCTGTTTGTTCTTTCTTATTTGTTATTTGAATGCTTTTAATTGCTTTCTGACTGCAAAATAGTGCTAGAATCTGTACTTTGTTGAAGTGGGAAGATACTTATGGTGTTAAAGTTCAAATCATAATGATGTCAAGCTTCGATGCCTTGATAGGTTTGTGTTAGTAACATAAACTGCATTTTAGTGATGACAAATTTTTTGGTCTCTCAAATATGTATGAACTTCATGGTGGCATTGCTCTGTGTGCATTATGCCCGTCTCAGCTATTTGTGCATTGAGTTGTTGTGAGCTACATTGTGTCTGTTGTATGTAAAACAAAGAAAATGAAGAAGTAAAATAGAAAAGAAATACATAGTCGGGCATATGACATTCTCGGCACTGGCTACACTCATCTAGTAAATATTTAGAAAACACTCTTAATTGATTGGTTTATTTTTGCGTAAAATCAAGCTAAACCTAACCATGAACATCCAAAGAGACAATGTGCTTTAACTCTCAAGTTAAGCAGATCAGACAACTAGATAAACAAAGACGATCAAGTCATTGTCCCTTCCTTTCTCTTTTTTTCCCCTCTTTTTTATTGGGATATATGTAAACACACATGGAACAAAATCTTCCTGTTATCCTTGACTTCCGTTGGTGTAACAGGAAAAAATCATATTCTCCTACCTATATTATTGCATAAATAATGCTCCACTAAAATGCTAACTCCCAAGGCAAGATTTATTAGACTTTTTCTATTGCTTAACTATTTGGGGAGTAAACTTATGGTTCCATCGGTTGGTGGATGTGCATATAACTTCCATGTGAAATTTGTTGTCTGTGAATTTTTCTCCCCCCAGACGAAGAGAACTTTTGTTGCCATGTAAAGATGAAAAAGAATAGTTGAGTAACAAGACACTGAACCGCTGGTGGGAGAGTGACCATGTTTGCAGACATTTTAGACGGACTATGATTAATCACATCTTGGTGCCATGACATCAATTCTCTCTTCAAACAACAGCTTAAAAGTCACCTGTCCTATATTTCATTTCCTTTTATGACCAACGTCAGAAGTCCTTTGCTTAAACATACTGTAGATGGTTCCACGATGAAAAGAACCAATATGGAATTTCTTCTTTTCTTCTTGTTTTTATTTAATTTATTTATTTAGTTATTTTGATGAATGGTGGGACTACATTTTCAAGATACTCGTCAGGGAAAAAAATCTATAGTGCGACAAATAAGCACTTATTATTCCACCAGATCTGCATAAAGAAAATCAATTAATGGTTGAGTGGAGGATTATATCCTTATTAATGATGAATATATCTGAGATTATATTCCTAATAAATATGGACCTAACGATGACTTCAAAATTAATGCGTAGTAGCTCTCCTGGGGGTGGGAGAAGGAGCTACGGCATAGTGTTTCTGCTATTTAAAGCCCCTTCTTCCCCAAATATTATCAATCTGGTGAAGACATCGATTGGAACGTTTCGTCAATGGAATTCCCAAAATCCTCATCAGCTCTGTCATCAGAAATGCAAAAGCCGGTTGGTATTCATAGCTGCTTGCCAAGTAACAACAAAACTCAGCAGGTAATCAATACTATCGAGCTTTATACCGAAACTTTTTTTTTACATATAGCTACCGTTCATATAAGATGAGATTTATCCCTTTGGTTTCCTTGCGTATCTAGGATGAAGATAAAAGGGAGCCTTGTTTCATGCATTTGCTAAGAGCAAAGCTCCTCTGTTTCTGGAAACAACAAGTCGAAGAAACTCTTCAAGCTTCAGGTGTTTTTTTTCTCCTTACACATAGTCACCTACAGAGACCAATGATATGATACATTCATGCATGATCAAAGGTTATTCTTGAGCNATCATCAGAAATGCAAAAGTCGGTTGCTATCCATAGCTGCTTGCCAAGTAACAACAAAACTCAGCAGGTAATCAATACAATCGAGCTTTATACCGATTTTTTTTACATATAGCTACCGTTCATATAAGATGAGATTTATACCTATGGCTTCCTCGCGTATCTAGGATGAAGATAAAAGGGAGCCTTGTTTCATGCATTTGCTAAGAGCAAAGCTCCTCTGTTTCTGGAAACAACAAGTCGAAGAAATTCTTCAAGCTTCAGGTGTTTTTTTGCTCCTTACACATAGTCACCTACAGAGACCAATGATATGATACATTCATGCATGATCAAAGGTTATTCTTGAGCTTTTGGGCCAGTTTTACGACCTGCCATGGCCCTCACATATGTTGATTTTGTTAGAAGTATCTCAATCATCACATAAAAAGATATGTTCCATATGAAAATTTACAAATATATATATATGTTGCACATTTTTGCTTCCACCAGTCATGAAACAGTTGTAAGCAGGTCATGTCATTGAAAGCAACACTAGAATCATAAAAATCAATAAATCAAATTGCAAGTAAAAGATCCTTTTATTTTTTAGAGATTGTAGGGTTTACTTCGCTGCTGTTTTTCCCTGTTGGTTTTACCTTCACACAGCCGCTTCATTTTATTTTTAGAGCTAAAGAGAAAACAAGAGCTGCCCCTTGCAAGGATCAGGCGCGTAATTAAGTCAAACGATCAAGTAAAGGTATGTTCATGGTTGTGATTTTCTATTCACATTGGCAAGGGTCGTTTTAATTTAATTTATTTTTTCGATCTGCTGCTAGTTGGAACTTGAAAAGCTTGAGAGAGTGCTTTTTTTTTTTTTTTTTTTTTTTTTTAAACTTTTCTTGATCTGCTGCATCTCTAACTGGGGAGTGGGTACTAAAAATAATTTTAACCTCTAATGGGCATGTGTAAATTCAGATGGTTAGCGCACATGCTATCGTTTTATTTGCAAAAGCAACTGAGATGTTCATTCTTGAACTCACACTTCGTGCGTGGATGCAAGCTGAACAAGTCAAACGTCGAACTCTGAAGCGTTATGACATTGCTAGGGCCATAAGGAATGAAGAACTTCTTGATTTCCTGTGTGATATCGTCCCACTGCAGTCCTATAAGGTTGGTTTATATGCTAGTATATCATCCATCATCACTTCCCGAGATGAAAATTGTTCTTAGCAAATAATTTCATTGGCTATTTCAAGCACTTTGAGACCTTGAATACATGCTAAATGACCTACGAATCTGTGAGGTAATTAAACTTTATAAAGTTGTACTTGTACTTACTGCGAAATGCTTCCTTTGTATATTTTATCTGATATTATTACTACTTAGCGAGTCAAACAAATTTTTTTGTCTACAAGTTTTTCAAATATTTTGAATCCTAAAATATTTTATTTGAATTTTATGGAGGACTTTTCACGTAGTCTCAGAATATGTAAATTTTATTTCGATAAAATTGACTAGTCAATGTTCAACTTCAACTGATAATCAAATACTCTGATCCTCATTTTCGAATCCCGTTACGAGTTTTTGAACGCTTATTAATGATCTTACCACTTAAAGTACTAAAATATCACTGGCTACAATACCAGTTTCAGGTGGAAGAGGCAAATTATGGCCAAGGAAATGAATTTCACCCGGCTTATCAAATGGTTCAGCCTATTAACTTTCCAGTGAGTAGTAGTGACTTTGAACATTACATGTGGTGGAACTACCTTGTAACCTTCATTCCAAATAACACCAGCATATTGTTTATCTAGGCTAATGTTGGTGTTGTTTATCCTCATAATGTATGAGTTTGAACTTCATAAAGTCGTACTTGTACTTCCTGCAAAATACTTTCTCTATATATTATACCTGATATTTTTACTACTTTGAGCGTCAAACAATCTTTTTCTGTCTACCTCATTTGAATCCTAAAATATTGTACGTAATTCAAACTTTACAAAATAGTACCTTTTATATTGTCTCAAAATATGTAAATTTTATTTCGGTAAAGTTGAGCCCATGTTCAGCTTCACAGAGATACATATTTTGATCCTCATAATTGGATCCTAATGAATTTTGGAACATTTTTAGTTATCTTACTTTTTAATATACCAGAATCTGCAGTACCAATTTCAGGTGGAAGAGGAGGCAAATGATGGCCAAGGAAATGAATTTCACCCGGCTTATGAAATGCTTCAGCTTCAGCCTAATAACATTCCGGTGAGTGATAGTGATTTTCAACATTACATGCTTAAACTGCCTTGTACAGCTTCATTCCAAATAACGGCAGCGACTTGTTTATCTAGGCTAATTTGTTGGTGTTGTTTATCCTAAAAAGTATGAGGTGATTAAATTTCATAAAGTCGTACTTGTTCCTGCGAAATACTTCCTCTACATATTGAGATATAATATTGTTACTAGTTAGAGGGTCAAACAATCTTTTCCTGTCTACCTAATTTAAATCCAAAAAATATTGTGATTTTTAATTTTATGTAGTACCTTTTACATGGTTCAAAAATATATAAGTTTTATTTCATATTTTGATCCCTGTATTTGAATCCCGTCATGAATTTTGGATGTTTATCATTTATCTTACTGTTTAAAGTACTAAAATCGCACTAGCTACAGTACCAGTTTCAGGTGGAAGAGGAGGCCCTTGATGTCCGAGGAAATGAATTTCATCAGGCTTATCAAATGGTTCAGCCCAATAACATTCTGGTGAGTGTTTGTGACTTTCAACACTAAATGTGTAAAATACCTTGTGAACTTTTATTTCAAATAACAGGCATATAATTTATCTTGGGTAATGTGTTGTGTTATTTATACTGAAAAACTATGAGATGAGTAAACTTCATAAAGTCCTACTTGTACTTCGTTCCTACTCTATATATTTATATGATATTATTACTATGTAGAGAGTCAAACAATCTTATCCTGTCTACCTATTTTGAATCCTAAACTATTGTAATTTACGTTCTATGGGGTAGTACCTTTTAGGTAGTCCCAAAGTATGCAAATTTTATTTCAATTAAATTCATATTTTGATCCTTGTTTTTGAATTCTGTCGTGAATTTGGAATGTTCATTAATTATCTTACAGTTTAAAGTACTAAAATTGCACTAGCTGCAGCAGCAGAACCAATTTCAGGTAGAAGAGTTGGCAAATGACGGCCAGGGAAATGAATTTCTCGTAGCTTATCAAATGGTTCAGCCTAATGATGTTCCAGTGAGTTATAGTGACTTTCAACACTACATGTGCAAACTACCTAATCTTCATCATAAATGACAGTTGATTGTTGTTTATCTAGGCTAATTTTTTGTTGTTGTTGTTGTTGTTTATCCTAAACAAATATGAGGTGATTAAACTTCATAAAGTCGTACTTGTCTTACCTGCAAAATACTTCCTCTATATATGAAATAAGATATTATTACCACTTAGAAGGTTAAACGAGCTTTTTCTATCTATCTATTTTGGATCGTAATATTGTACGTAATTCAAATTTTATGAAGTAGTAGTACCTTCTATGTAGCCTCAAACTATGTAAACATTATTTCGATAAAATTGAGAAGTTAATATTCAACTTCACACAGATAATTACATATTTTGATCTTTCTTTGTTTTCAAATCCTGTCATGAATTACGTTTATTAATTATCTTACAGTTTAAAGTACTATAACAGCACTAGCTACAGTACCAATTTCAGGTGGAAGAGGAGGCAAATGGTGGCCAAGGAAATCAATTTCACCCGGCTTATCAAATGGTTCAGCCTAATAGCATTCCGGTGAGTGATAGTGCCTTTCAACACTACCTTGTAAACGTTCATTCCAAATAACAGTCGTGAATTGTTTATCTAGGCTAGTTTGTTGGTCTATTTATCTAGATAAACCTTGATCTGAAAAAAAGAAGAAAATTCAACACTTCCTGAGAATTTTTGATGTTATTTATGTAGGCTTCTTTCACCAGCATCCAAGGAATTCCAGCGCCACTGATGCTACCACCTGCGATTAATTCATCTGCTGAAGCCAAGTTTACCAATGATGGATTTGCATTGGACAATAAGGAGGGACTTTAAAGTGGGAGTTAATTAATTTCTGTTTCTTTAGTTATCATTTTCCTTTGTTGTTGTTTAGCCTTTTCAATAGGCCATCCTTTAGACTTGTTTTAATTGGCCTAAGAAAAATATGTGTCCCCTATACTGCTGAAAGAATGCAGTTTATGTTTGTGTTAAACAGTATAAACCCCGCTTTTGTTAAATGTTTTTAATAATACCTGTGCTTATTTCGTGATGATTTAGAAGCCTGCGAATCAGGTTTTTTTTTTTGGTTCAAAAGATAGTATGCATTAAATTAAAAGTTGAGCGTACAGAGATGTTGGTGCTCGGGTTGCACCATATTACAAGTTATAGTATCACTAGTAGTAGTTACAATGTTTGTGGTATTCCTAACGGAACTATTATCACAACACCCAAAGTTGATAAAAACTATCTCCGCTACAGCATGGTTTTCAGCATTTGACTCCAGGCTGCTCCGCAAAACAGGTACTGCTGCATTGTCTTCAACTGCCATGTGTGTGGAACTGATCTTGTAGTAGTTGTTCCTTGCTTATCTCCTTCAAAATGTCGGATCACAAAAAGTGGTGGTATTGCAAAAAATTTATAGCGTACGATTACTTGCCAGACTGCTGCCCTCTTTTGCTAGTTGATCCGCTACTCTATTTTGTTCTCTGTATGCGTGTTGTACTCTTGGATTATGTAGCTGGTGGAGGAGGTACCTACAGTCAATAAGCATGTTAGTGTATAAAATATTATCGTTAGCTAGCATAGTGATTACCTCCCTTGCATCTACTTCCACTTGCAGTGGTGTTAGATTTAGTTGACGAGCTAGTTGAAGTCCCTGGATCAGTGCTCGAATTTCTGCTGCAATAGAAGTTGATTGTGGTATATTTCCTGAAAATCCCACAATCCAGTCTCCCAGGTGATTACGAAATTACTCCACCGATGCCATCCATATTGGATCGTTGTGAATGGGCCCCATCCGTATTGAGCTTGTAAATACTTGGTGCTGGAGGAATCCATTTAAGGGCAACTTTAATTCTGATAGGTCTTGTGTTGGCAAGCTGGGCAAGAAGATGAAGTCCAATTTGACAGGTTTAAATCGTTTCTGAATAGGGTGAAGTTCAGAAAATTATTTCAGCAAACTTAAAAAACATACTTAGATATCAAGCTTAATTATGAAATCCAAATTCTAATACGAATTTCCAGAGCTCAATCAGGGTATTCACTTTGGATTTTCCAGAGTCGATAGAATCTGTAGTTCTCAAATTGTCATCCAACCGTCTGCTCATTGTCAATGCCTAATGGTCAATCCTTAAAAGGGCAGCCTGTGCGCGGGGTCCGGGAAAGGACCGGATCACAAGGGTCTATTGTATGTAGTCTTACCGTGCATTTCTGCAATAAGTTGTTTCTATGGCTCAAACCCGTGACCTTCTGGTCACATGACATCAACTTTACAAGTTCCGCCAAGGTTCCCCTTCAATCCTTCCATATACAAAAGATTGACGTTTGAATAAGTTTTTTGTGTTTTTTTTTCTTCACGTACAGAAGGGAGTATAGTCAAAATTTGGTGGTTGTTCAAGAGACCCATTCTAAAGTACGACTCTCGCTGTTTTCTCGTATGCTATTTTTTTTTTTTTTTTTTTTTTTTTTTTGGCATATTTCGTATTCCGAAACGTTTTAAATTTTATAATTCCATTATGCCGTCGAACACAATCTTTGATAGGCCTATTTCTAATTTTGAAATGGTACCAGCTATTGGAAGAATTTCAAAAAGAGTATTATGGGATCATTCACACATTTGTTGTTAGCAAATCCTTTTGCATTTGCCTTGACTTTAATGGAGTTCAAACGTGAATTGAGTGAATTGTCAGTGTCAAAATATATCCCGGAAAAGGTTAAAGTTTACTCTTTTACTTTTTTTATTATGGTTCAAAATGATCCTCTATTATGTTGTCGGGAGCTCTATTAGGGGCTAGAGTAAATATAAGATGATGTACTAACAAGAGTATGGTGGGTTCGAAATATAACAGAGGATAAGAGTAAGATATTTCATATAGTAGGTGGGTACCTTTAAACCTTTTAAAAAAAAGAAAAGGTTGATGAGGATTCATGCCGAGTGAATTACACAAATAGCCGTCAAAGTGGATGGTTTTGAATTTTTGTCCCCACTTACCTCATGGGCAAAATTTTAAGTTTAACAAATGTTGCCGCTCGCTTGCTCCTTGGGCAACGCTTTTAACTTTTGATCTTGAAGTTCTGTCCACGGTACAAGCAGGGGGATGCACTTTTAACAAAGTCATAAATTTTTAGGAAATATATGTATTAATAATATGAGAAAATGGAACAATAGAAAAAATGACACCACTTGACATAAATTATCTCTTGGCGCGTTGGCCGTGTACCTTATTTTGCTTTAAGAGGTCAGTGGCTTGAGCCTCAACTAACACTTTTTTTGTTGTTGCAATATTTGAGTCTTTGTGGTTAAATATTGTGATGAAGTAAAATTGAACTCATGACCTTTTCTTACTTAAGACTCAAAAAAATTAATAGACTAAAGCTTTTTTTTTTCTTTCTCGAAGTATGATAATTAGAGTCATTATTCCTATTCTTCTATTAATTTCGACACAACTTATAAAAATTACTACCCCTAAAGAAAAGCGACAGTCAAAAGTTAAAGACTACATAAAAAATTGTCATATTTTTACAATTTTTTGATCCATGGCTTATACGTTCGAGATTGTAGATTCTAATGAAGGAGGACTCCTTTCACCAAAAAATTTATGTGGTGTCATTTGATGGAAATAGTACTTCTCTGATCCTGTTCTTCATTGAAGTAGATAGCTTCCCTCCCATTTTAAAAGTTGATCCCGTTGGTTCATTTACCTCCGGAATAAAAAGATTTCAATTTTAAATTTGGGTGATAATCCTTATTCCTCACTATGGGTGTCCATGGTTCGATACGGCCGCTTATTTTATAAAATATAAATCATACCAATTTTTTGATTATTCTATTATGTATAACCAAAATTAGACTTTTCAAAACCGTCTTAATAATATCGATTTCTCTTCGGTATCGGTACAATTCGGTTAATTTTTGGTAATTTTTTAAAATATCATGTAAATGTTACTAGTAGAAGTAGAATGCAATAATATACGTATTTTTATAGAACTTAGCAAAAGTCTCTAGACATTTTTAGGGCTCGTTTGGTATGAGGGATAAGGAGTAACTAATCCCTTAAGAAAAGTTTATCCCATGTTTGGTTGAGAGAAAATTGTGGTGTGATTAATCCTGAGATTAGTTATCCCGGGATTATGATATTTTTTTTTATCCCCATGGAAATATGGAATAAAGTCTTTAGAAAATTAAACATTCAAAACAATAAATCTTAATCATACGAAAGGAAACATATTCAATACATTATAGTTTGCTACACATAATCGCAACAATACCTTGTGTCTTGCTAGTGAATATGCTGAAAATAATTTAGTTTCAATAGAAGTTGCATAATAGGTTTGAGAATTAGGAATTTGCATTTAATTACTTGTTGGCTTGTAACTGTTTCATAATTTCAAGGCCCAAGAACAAATTTAATAATTTATTATTTTTAAACTTAACATATAAATATATTTTTCACGTTGTAAATTTATTCGATACGGTTCGATATTTTTCGATTTATTTTTATTAAATAAAAAACCTACCCTAATTATCGATGCGGTTATAGATTTATATAAAGACCTATGGTTTTATTAGAAGAAATCTAAAAATCGGTTCAATACGGTACAGTTCGTTCGGTTTAGTCGGATTTTGAATATGCATTGACACCGTCGAATTTTGTAGTAAACAAATTAGGGGTGTATTTGGTATGAAGAAAAATACCAAATATTTTCATGGAAAATGAGTGGTTTTATCACTTATTTTTCCTTGTTTGGTTAGTGAGTGAAAAACTCTTTTCGGAAAATATTTTCTAGTATTTGGTTAGAAAGTAGAAATATTTTTTTAGGAAAATACTTTTTTTATGCTACTGATAGTAGGCTATAATTATGTAGTTTAGCTACCATTTACGCTCCAACTTAGCTGTACTTTATTGATATGTGAATGTTAAATGATAACAAATTGCGCTAATTAAGAACTTTATGCTATGTAGGGGAAATTTCGGGCTATGAGGACATTAAAGAGTGTTTTGGAGTTAATATGGAGCAATGAAGGCCAATCGGGGGTGAGCGCACACAAAAGAAGAAAGAAAAATGAAGGCAGAAATTTCCTCCAGGTGCGCGGTCGACCCGCGGCTGCGCACTGGCAGCGCTCATTAGGCAGAACAAAAGGCAATATGCACGGTCCATCTGCGGCCGTGCACGTTGCTCCAAGGATTTTTATTTTAGGGATAAAATTGTAAGTTCAGAGACGACTCTCATTGACCTATATGAAACCCAGCTCGCCTAAAAAGAGGGTATCTTGGTTTTTGGAAGGATTTTGAAGGCAAAAACAAGCAAGAAGCAAGACGGAAGATTCGGCATAGAGTTTGTATCTTTCTTCCTCTTGTGTTTTATCATTGATGATGAATTCTATTATGATGATTGTTAAAACAATTATGCATAACTAAACTCCTAAACTTGGGTTTTGATGGAACATATTGGAGGATGATTTTCTTGTTATGTTAATATAGATTTGCCGTAGTATTCTCTCCATTTGTTCAACTATATTGTGATTGCTGTTGATGGAAGGGCCCTCAATCGACTGTGCCTATTTAGCATGTACTACTCGTGAGAGAGTGCATATTTAGGTAATTGTTGAATAACACCACTCCTAACGTATATGAGGGATCAATACGAAGGGTTTAAAGGTGAGATTAGGGATAACGAAATCTTGGGTGCGATCTAAGTGAGCTGTATTTAAGGCTAGCTAGTGTAATTCGGGAGAATATGTCTAGTATATTGTTGTAATTACTCGGGAGAGAGTTACGACAGTCAGAGTGCTCATGATCGATAGAGAAGACTTAGACAAATTTATAGCAAACGTAGAGGAAAGGATTCCAACAATAGGGGAAATCAGAACCTTAGATCATTCCAATTTTTGTCTACAAGCCATTCATAGTTAGTTCTTAATTATTGCATTGTCATTACATAATATTTAGTTAGTAAACATCCAATCTATTACTCAAATATTTTTGAAGATTGAATACGTGAATTTGTGTAAGTCCAATAGCTGTGATTGATAGGTTAATTCATTGTGGATTC